ATTTGACACCAGTACCAAATAGCTGTCTGAATATTGGGGGTTTTTTTTAGAGTTTTGGTCATGGACTTTGTGCACAATGCACAATGATTTGCTAATGTCATCAGTTTACCGGACTGAAGAAAGAACCCCACAGCAGCTCACAGATTTGCAGCTGATGAATTTTACACTCCTTTCCACATATATTACATGGCAGATTTTTAGAATGACCTGAAAGCTGATCAGAACACGTATGAAGGTAGATATCGAGGTGCAAATTAATTGGTATATTGTTAAAATTAGAATCTACCTAATAGAGAACATAGAAAATTGATGTTTTGTCTATAGAGAAAAAAATATGCATGCTAGTACTGTGCAAGTATTCATAGTTACTATAAGTTGAATCCTTTTTATTTCCATGTTGCTTACTTTATTGCATCATCAGCTAATGATTTTCAATCTTTATATAAACATTAAGTATTAACTGTTCATCTCTAAAGTTATGGAAGTCTGCAACTTTGAAGACAAAAACCTATGTGGATGGCATCAAGCAGCCTTGGAACAGATGTCAGGAAGTTATTCCATACATACCACAAACATATTCAAATGGAAACTTGGAAGAGGGGCAAATCTCTACCCTGAGCAGGAGCAACACAGCCCATTAACTGATCATACTACGTGAGTACAATTTTCAGAATCTTTCTTATAGAGCATGCTGGGGAGTGCTGCTGTCTGCTCTATGCAGTGGCTGTGGCACCAGCAAGATGACTTTTGACATGTCATAGCCAGGTTTGGGCTGCTGCCCTTTGCACTCCATTATCAATCCCCTCTATTACAAATTTTCATCCTACGTTTATATTTCTTTTCAAGCTGACTTCTCCTGTAAAAGCTCTTTGTAATTAATTTGGTACTGTTTAATGTAGTTGATGGTGGTCGTCATCTGGATCAGTTTGGGGTCAATATTTTCTCAGTCTTCAGTCACATAGACAATTTATGCTCATATTTTTACTACCTATTGTTAGTTATTATTAGCTACTGTTAACAATTTTATTATTGTTATGGTTAGCTATAGCTATTATCCCAGGAGTTTTATCCAAGGATGGGCAGAAAAAGTTACCATAACAGGACTTGTCAATTCTGCAGTCCTTTAATATTTAATTAATGCAGCTCGGTTTAGTTGATATTTTCTTTACCATATATTTTTATATTACCCTTTATCTGATAAATTATATAACTACATATTAAAATATAAAATGTTTATGTTCATATTAAAATATAAAATGTTTATGTTCTCTTAGTGAATATTTCTAAATTAATATTTCATTATAGGTGAATTTTTAAAGATAATTACTAGCTCCCCCAAAGATATGTCTTTGATTTGTCTTAAAAACCAAAAATTATGGACATTTGGGTTTACCCATTTAGTTTTTTTGAAGTTTCTTTGTTGGTTTTTTTAAAGTAAGAATTGTGATTTTAATAAACACATTAATGCAATATATTCCAGTTTAAAATAACAACTAAGGTTCATTGAAACAAAATCCCTATAAGTTTCATTAGCAAATGTATTGAGTACAAACAACTTTCAATGTTATTTATTATATACGTTATATATGACTTAATTAATAAGAAAATTTCTGTACAGATTAATTATTATGAACTGAAAATACTAGACTGGTTCTAGTGACACGTGTTTACTTTCTGTAATTGCTCATAGAGTGCAAAAATAGTCTTTAATATACCAAACACAAAAAATCATTCAACAACAGCAAAGAAGAATTACGATGCTACCTAATTATTTCTAGGTCTCTATATTATGTATAGAAAAGAAGTGCATTACATAAAAAAGAGTAACTATTTACAATAGATTAGCTGTCAAATATTTCATTGACTACTATTTAATTGTCATCTATTAGCCAATACCAGCACAGTATGTGTACTTAGTAAATCCTTTCACATCATTTCCACTACACATTTGCATTGGTACAGTGATACATGAAATTGTACTACCGTTTTTCAACATATTTTCAGGGTTTAATGCAACTGACACTATATTGAAAAGGACACATGAAAAGAGAAAGTAAATGATCCATAGAGATCTGAACACATCTGAAATGTATTGCCGTTGTGATGTTTCACATGAGATGCAATTTGGTTCTACCGTTTCTTCCTTCCTGTTTATTGACCTGTAGAAGAGTACAGAAGTGTGATGCTCCCAAATTACTGCAAAGATGCAGAGCAACAGTTCTGTTGAATTAAAACCCTGCAGTGTTTGCTTTTATTTTCTCATCCATTTTCTCCAAATCTCCGTGGAGTTAGGTGAGAGGAGGTGTATTACTGCAATCTTGTGTTTTTGCAAATTAAAATAAAACATGCAAGATCATGTATAGAAATCTTTGGATTTATCCTGATGCAAGAGCAAATGACAGTGCAACTTAAAATTATTTTTTTCAGCAGAAATAGCCATGAATGGCTGGAGAGTGAAACCATCTGCTTCCCTAGAATAAGCACTGGGGCTA